CGGGGGGCGCGCGCGCGCAGACCCGCATCGACGCGGAGGCGGCGCGCCGCATCCAGGAGGCGCTCTTCTGCCTGCACGACGAGCGCGACTGCCTCTACGAGTACGTGCCCGACAACGTGGTGTCCATGCGGCGCATCGTCAACACCGTGCCCATCACCGTGCGCCTGCTGCAGCAGCAGCAGCTCCAGGGGGACTGCGTGGGGCCCACGCCGCGCCAGGCGGTGGCTTGGGTGGTGCTCGCCAACCAGTGGCCCTGCCGCCTCAGCTGGGTGCTGCAGTGCCTGGAGGACCGGCAGCAGGCCGGGGGCGCGCCGGAGGCCCGCGCGCGCATCTGGGACGTGTTCTGTGACAACAGTCGCGAACTGCACGCCATGACCAAGGCGCTGCAAAATGTGCTCGACCTCGACGGAGACCCCGAGCTTTTCGAGCGCTTCCTGGACACTGACTTCCCCTTCACCGTGGCTGAGGCGCAGAGCTTGCTGCGCTGCACGGTCAACCTGGACCACTCCATCCGCCGCCGCATGGGCCTCATAAGAGCCGTCAGTACACTCAAGCCGCCCAGTCCGCCCAAGTCCCCCAACCGCAACGCCCCCAATGCTGCCAGTGGAGCCAACAATGCCCCTGGGGCATCCCAGTCGGGCCACACCGCAGGGCAGGCCCACAGGAGCCCTAGTGAAGCCCACCACTCCCAGAACTGGACGCAAGGGGGCCAGACTAAAACGCAAGGCGGAAGTGGACTCCACTTCCGGCAATCCAACCCAGGTGGACCTTGAATGGAGGACTCTGGGACAGCAGGAGGCAACAGCTTGCTGGTCAGTCCACTCAGACGAAAGTGGAGGGACCCCTTGGCCGGGGTCCACTGTCCCAAATGAGGTCTGCAGTGGCCACATCCCCCATGTGAATCTGCCAGCAGGAGAGCTGCTGGCAGTGACCACGAAGAGTCGGGCGATGTGCCGGTGCCAATGTCTGAGCCAGTGCAGGACGGCAGGAACTCAGGGCTCAAGTGCAATAAATGAAGGTCTTAAGTCCTGGCCTCCCTGCTCTGTGAGGACTGGGAGCCAGGCTTGCCCTACTCTGCCAAGTCCACTTCATCCCCAGGGCATGGGGCAGCCTCAGCAGGCAGCCTCCTGGCTGGCATCCGGCTGGCAGGTGGGGCTGTGGGGGCGGCGGGCGGGGCGCAAACAGGCAGATGGAGGAAGCGTGGATGGCCTGGCTGACTCAGCAATGGAGAGCGCCCAGGCCCCAGGGGATCTGGGTCCTTGTCCCCGCCCCACGCCCCAGCTCGTCCCTCTGTGGAGAGGTGGCACCTGGCATTTCCGGGGGTGGTGTCCCTGGTGACCTCAGCAGGCTGCACCATTCCTGGGGACCCCACCCCTAACATAATGGGTCAATCAAGCTTCACCTGGGCCAGTTGGGTAGGTAGCACTCCCTGCCCCAGACAAGTAACTGGTCAGGAAGTGCCTGCCTGTAGAGAGGGGGTGCCACTCCAGGACCCCCCAAGGGCCAAGAGTTGGTCACACACACTGAAGTCCCTCGGGGACAGGGAAGTTTGCAGGAGATGGACACAGGTGGGACTGTGCTCGCCAGTGCAGAGCGGGGCCAGCGCTGAACAAACCCTGGGAAGCAGGATTTGAGGGCCTGACTTCTGGGCCAGGGGCGAGGTGACCGTGCCAGAGGCAGCCAAGGGCACTGTGGCCTGATTGGGGGGGGGCTGGGAGGGACTTAGCTTCAGGGATGGCACAGCACCCCAAACTCCTTTTACAATGACTTCTCCAGCGAGCGGACACGGGGCAGAGGTGGCCTGTGCCCCTGCCTGAGCTGGCAGTAAAGTGCTGCTGCCGCTCCCCACAGCGGTGCTGGAGGCAAGGAGTCAGCCCTGCTGGAGGTGCTGTCCGGCAGGAGGGACGGGCCTGCCTGAGAATGCAGCCACGTGGGGCAGGTCCCCACCATCAATAGGGTGGGATCGGTGTCTGCACAGTTGCAAGAACCAGGATGTCCCTTGCTTCTGTCCCCCGTGAGCCAGTTTGCCTTAGGCTGACCCCCCCACTCAGGTTCTGGCCGAGAGCAAACCAGCTTTGGGGGTGGGGAGTGGTAGCAGGAGGCAGGAGACTGCTGCAGGTGAGGACGGAGGACCCTGCCCGCCGCAGACCCTGTGACGTGGGGCCAAGCCACGGCCAGACTGATGCCCATTTATCGCAGACAGTGGCCAGCCCCACCAGAGCGAGTCGGGGGCTTCGTGAAAAAATGAAAACAGGATGTGGCGATGCTGGCCTGGCTGAGCTGCTCACTGCCCACCAGCGCTCTCCAGTGGGGAGCTTCTGCTGGGAGCTGTCTCCCAGATGGAGGGAGGGAGGCGGCAAGGGTGTCGTTTGCAGATGAGCTTTTCCCCCTCTGCTCAGGGACCCCTGAGAACCTGGAGGTGGCTGAGGCCCTGGAAGGGGTCTGGGTCCACCAGCCTTTGCGGGACCACCACACTAACACCCACGTGTCTCCCGAGTTAGGGTGCTGAGAGCTTTGAGACCTGGCTTAGGATGTGGCCAGGGAGCCAACTGTTCGCAAGCTCAGGCTGTCGGATGTCCGAAGTTTGGGAGAGAAGATACTTGGCCAAGGGACGCCACCATGACCCTGAATCCCCCAAACGTCGGAAAATCAGGGGCACACGGGGCAGGTTTTCCAGTTTCCTGGGGCTGCTCTAAGATCCGTAACTGGGTGGCTCAGAGGGCAGCAGTTCATTCTGGCACAGGTCAGGGAGCCAGAAAGGTGCGACCCGCAGCCCCCTCCTTGCCCCTCGCGGCTCCCGGCGCTTTGCCAGCAATCCTGGAGGGGCTGTGCCCAATACCGCCCCTCACTCCCCGCGGCCTCCGCATCTCCAGTCACCTCCCCCCTTAAGGGTGCCGCTCGCGTCGGAGGAGAACCCACTTGAGCTTGATCGCCTCTGTAAAGACACCCCAAAGAAGGTTCCACCCGAGGCCCGGGGGCTAGGATTTCCCGTGTTTGTGGGGATGGCAGTTGGCAAGACCTGATCCCTCACTCAGGCTAGATGTGGCCCAACCCAGGGCAGGAACAGAAGCTGGGCACCCGCGCCCGCACCCTGTCGGCCACCCCAATGGAGGTGGAAGCAGCGGGCAGAGGGGGACAGGCAGCACCCAACACTGTTGCCAGAGGACACAGCCCGCCACGGGCTCGATTCCTAGGCAAGTTAAATGAACCAGACCTACTCCGACATCTAGGGGGCTGCTCTGACAGAGCCCGGCTAGGGGCTCCCCAGCGTCCAGTGTCAACCGAGGGGCTGACACGTCCCCACGGCAGGGTGGGAGGCCTGCAGGTGTCCCCCGCTGCCCCGCCGGGTGGGCTTCCTGGGCCCCCTGTGGTTGCCGACACGCATGGGCAAGCTGCTGGGAGCAGGAGTGGGGAGCACCTAGGGCAGACGTGCGGGGGCAGACGCTGGGGTTGGTGAGCAGTGAACGGCCTTCCCATCCCCCCTCTTGCCCACCCCAAGCCTCCCACGCAGGAAAATGGGGTAGGTGCAAGGCTGCTCCCTCAGCTACTCACTCTCTAAAGGCTGAGACCCAGACTTCCAGAAACCCCCACAGCCTCCGCCCCGCCCCCGCGGCCCAGGCTGTCGGGGAGTCTGGTCACAGAGGAGGAGCTCTTAACCCGAGGGCCCTATCATCAGCACGAGGCGGGGAAGCATCCTGGTTTCCCTCTGAGAGGCGGCGTGAACCGGGCTGTGTGGGGAGTGCACTGGACAAGGACCGAGGACAGCCAGCGTGGACACTGGGGAGACGTGGCGGGGGTCCAGCTGGCTGGCAGGTGCTCCAAGGCCGGGAACTGGTGGGTACCCTCTCCGTGGCCTGAGCCCCACACAGCAGCATGAGCAGAGAGCAGGCAACGGTGAACCCAGCTCTGGTTTATTAGAAAAGGTGTGAACAGAGTTGCACCGACAAGGAGCCCACCCGCCCC